GTTAGTAAGTGCTACATAGCGATTGTTCCTGTCAACCCAGAGCAATAGCAATACATGTATGAGGGAGTTTTGCTCCACCAACTGACAATTTCCATATTCTTGATTGTCAAAGTTACTAAGCACTGTTGCATATATTATTGTGAATAATTGTAGCGCAATACACTATGACTGGTCACCTAATATAGGGTACTATTGGTGTGTTAGGAGAACTAAGATTGTCTTGATACGATGGCATGATTTATAGTTTAAAAATAAACTGTGAATTTTGATTATAATAAACAGCGATGAATGCGTTATGGTAGTGCTGATAACTATGGGAAGGGGAGACAAAACGAAAAAACAATCAAGCTTACATCAAGTCCACTCTCTTTCATGAATCTTCAGCTATAATTTGAACCAAACGTTTGTTAATAAAAATGTGTATATTCTTGTGAACCATAATGCAGGTTATCCAAGGAGATGTTCTTAAATGTGATCTTCCGTACTTCGATATCTGCGTGGCAAACATCCCATACCAGATATCGTCCCCCCTTACATTCAAGCTTCTGTCACACCGTCCGATCTTCAGGTGTGCTGTGATCATGTTTCAACGTGAATTTGCCATGAGACTTGTAGCACAGCCTGGAGACACTCTGTACTGCCGTCTGTCAGTGAACGTGCAGCTCCTATCTCGCGTGTCACATCTGCTGAAGGTTGGGCGGAATAACTTCAGGCCTCCACCCAAGGTAGATTCTTCAGTTGTTCGCATCGAGCCAAGGAAACCCCTCCCTCCTGTCAGCTTCAAAGAGTGGGATGGACTTGTAAGGATTTGTTTCAATCGGAAAAACAAAACTCTGGGCTCCCTTTTCAAGCAGAAGCGCGTCCTTGAGTTGCTAGAGAAGAATTACAAGACAATGCAATCTCTCCAACTTGCCCAAGAATCTGAAATGGGCGAGGAGAAGATGTCACCTGATGATGTTGCGGTGCTAGCCAATATGGTCGAGGACCTGAGCATGGAGATGAGTGATGAGAAAGAGGACGACGACATGGAAATGGATGATGCTGACGTGGCAGATGGCCGTGCTAGCTTCAGAGAAAAGATTATGGGTATATTGCAGCAGGGTGATTTTGCAGAGAAGAGGTCTTCCAAGCTGAGCCAAGTTGATTTCCTCTACTTGCTGTCTCTGTTCAACAAAGCAGGTATACATTTTTCGTGAGGGCCCGCTTAGTCAGCTAGCTTGAGATGGATCTTGAAAAGCCATGTTTATTTTTTGGTTTATGTTATGTAAGTCCTATATAAGTTAAAAGTCATCTTTGTGATATTGTGCTCTGAAATATTTTCGACACCGTCGATTTTGCCCCTGCTTTAGAAAATAATTCCAAGGAAAGATGTTCAAACCGTGTCGCCAATACATATATGCTCGCATTTTGTATGGTTTGATATTATTCCCCTTGTTGAGGGTGCGATGCAGATGCAAGTTTAGTTGCTACTACTCCCTCCGTTTCTAAATATTTGTCTTTTAAGACATTTCAAATGGATGACTACATACGGATGTATATTGACATAGTTTAGAGTGTAGATTTACTCATTTTGCTTCGTATGTAGTCACTTGTTGGAATCTCTATAAGGACAAATATTTAGGAACGGAGTATTTCTGTATTTCGTATTCAGAATCAAGCTGAATTATCGAATCTCATATTTAGGAACGGAGTATTTCTGTATTTCGTATTCAGAATCAAGCTGAATTATCGAATCTCTCGTTTACTAGGAGTAGGTGCCAAGGTTATTAGGAGTAGGACACGTGGGCAAAAGATGAGGGGTCAAGGGTCAACACCGTTGAAGTCGAAGCAATAATGGAGGATTACCTCCCGGTCTTGCATCTCTGCCACGTTGATAACCGCAATCGCGCCACGTCTTGCCTCTCACACAGGATATACATCAACCATGCTCGTATGTATGACCGTCTTTGTCTCGCTGTGACGCACACCTTCTCCATAGCAAGAAAAACCCATGGAGATTGCCGTCTCCGCGGTGGCAAGCGAGCGAGTCATCAACGTATGTATGACCGTTGTACTTCATGTTCGGCCGCCGGGTCGAGAGGCAGCGAGTCATCAACGTATTGATGCAGGACGGCCACCCGCCACCCGGGGCTCCGACCGTGCTGCCCATCATCGGCCGTCGCAGAGTGGGCAAGAAGACGCTGGTGTGGAGCGTCTGCTCCGACGACCGGATCCGCTCTCGCTTCCCTTCCATCCTCCACGTCGACGGATGCGAGATTCAGAGGATCGACCGTCGCAGGTTTGCTACTACTGTGAGGACTTTGATCGTCGTTGAGGTCCGGTCGGACGTCGATGACAGGGAGTGGCACGAGTTCCTCTCGCTGCTCCAAACTGTCACCGGCGCAGGGAGCAAGGTGGTGATCCTAAGCCGGCTCGAGAGGCTAGCGAGGTTTGGAACCGTGAACCTCGTCCGGATCAACAGCTTCTCACGAGAGGAATACGGCTACCTTTTCAAGGTCCTCGCGTTCGGGAGCTCCGACCCGGCGGACCACCCGCGGCTGGCGCTGATAGGGAAGGAGCTAGCGACGATGATGGAGGGGTCCCTCGTGCACCTCAACGTCTACTCGAGCGTGCTGAGGAACAACCTGAACGTTCAGTTCTGGAGCCGCGCTCTGAAGCTGTACCGAACGGTGATGGAGGCTAACCTGTCCGTCTTCGGTGACCGCCCGAGGGCTCTTCTTGACAGAGGCAGCACCGTTGATATCACCAGGTTCTCGGCGGCGGCGGCGGCGGCTACCCCGCTTCGATTTGTGCTGCTGATCGGTGGAAGGGGCTCTTCCGGGCCAGGTGAGCTCCCCAGGATGACATTTGGAGATATAATAGCGGGCTCTGTTGTTCTGCCGATGAAGTTTGAGCTGGTGTGGGAATCTCGGTTGCCCCCTTACACTGTTATCTCCGGCACTTGTGTCGCAGAGGAGCCTCGACACTCGGTTTCACCCACAAGGAAACGTCGTAGATGATGTATGCTTCTGCAGGCCATTACCGTGCCAGGATTTCTTCCTCCTGATGTCAACTTTTACTGAATGTATCACTTTCCGTAGCATAGTATACTGCAAATAAGTGGCGCTATTCTTGCTCGTATCTGTTCGCCGGGCGATGCGGGCCTGCTCCTCCGCTCAGCTCTCACCACGTTGGCCGCCTTCTCTTTGGCTAGCCGCTCGGACTCCTCGAGCCTGAGCCGCAATGCCTTGCAGTTCTGCAGCGGGGACGGTGGGCATCTGTCTTGGACGTGGTCGACCGGCGGATGACATCGCGGGCGATCCCCTCCTCCGACTCGGAAGGCAGGACAACCGACATTATCTGCACGGCCCGCAGATGTCCAGCTAGTTCCGACCCCGGACGAAGCACGGATGGTGCGAGGTAAGGGATTACAGCGGGGGTCGGGGCGGCGCCCGTCCGTTTCGTCTCCGGCGGCCCTAGGATCATGGAGTAGTGGTGGACCTCGGTCCTTGCGGACGGGAGGGATCTTTCTTCGTTTTTAATTGTTTTTATGAGTTCGTTTAGGGTTTGTGTCTTGTTCAGGTAGACGAGACGGTGGCGACTCCTTGATATGGAATTAGGTTCTCTCCGCATGGCCCCGTTCTGCTAATGTGTCTAGCGTCGTAAAAGGGTGTGGAGGTGTGTCTCTCGCGGATCTCGCGAGATTCGGTCGGTGCTTGTCTTTGATGAATCCGTTCTTTGTTTGTTTAAGTTCATGTGTCTACATGTTGGATTCTTTCGATCTATACTTCACTTCATCGGCAATGGTTGATGCTCTGGTGTGTTGGTCTAATGGGTTCTTAGCACAACGACTTCTTGACTGTCTATTGCAACAAGTTTGACCCGGCTTCGGTGAGAGAGGGATGATAGGGCTGATGACGGCGGCATGCTTTCGGCTTGCTCCAGTGCTTGTAATCGTCGCTAGCTGGTCTACGAACATGGATTAATTATTTATGTGTTTTTTTATTGCCATAGCATGACAAATATATCAAAAGTTTTTTCAGAAAAAAGAAGAGAGGATAATTCTTCAAACTAAGGATGGGAAGTTCAGAAACATGAAGCTAAAATTAACATAAAGTCGTGGTGTGGAGTGCAAAATATACTGAAAATTTCTGTTCACTTCTCAGTCACTTCGGAGAGACAAAAACATAGTCTCAACTAAGACAATACCCAACTTGCAGCTTCTAATTGTCATGACACGAAAATAAACTGTACAAACTAAACTACGACGCGCAGTGGTTGCCGCTCACGAAGATCGAAGATCTGCGCAGCCATTATTTCGATTTACACGCGACGAGTCGATCGATCCTTGGGGCGCCTCCCGATCCACAGCTCGACCGATCAATGATCGAGTACGTACGACACTAGGTCCCCGAGGGCCGCATAGTCATCAAGGTACTCTCCAAAGCTAACGGCGCCGCCGTATTGCCGGGTGGACGTCACGTCTCCCTGGTCGGGCCAAGTAGGCGGCGGTGCTGTGCAGGGCTGAGCTCCCGGGGGTGCGGCTGCTCAGCACCTCCTCCTGGTCGCCGCTGTCAGGCTTCATGCCCTGCAGGCCGGACCCCGTCGCCGTGCTGGTGGTGGTGCCATGGGTAGCGGTAGCGGCGCTGCCGGGCGCGAAGCTGATGAGGTGGCAGCCGGCGTGCAGGCCTTGGGCGGCGCCGGTCAGGTGGTGGAGGACGTGCGGCGCCGCGGCGGCGGCGGCGGGGTCCCGGCAGGTGTGCACGCCGATGTAGGTGACCCTGAACATGCCCTCGTCGTCGTCGCAGCGCTGGACCTGCCGCTGCGCCGCGCACTGCTGGTCGTACTTGTGCGTGCACCGGAAGTAGGCCCTGCGGCAGAAACACGTTCGTTCATGGCGCTTGTCAGTTGACGGAGACCCGTCGACGTCGTCGAGGGATTAATATTAATTGTAGGCAGGGTTAGTTGTTGCAGAGTTCACACGTAGGTGGGAGCACCATTGCCATCCCATTTGGTGGTTTTTTAGCAGTTTATTAGTAGTGATAAAATCATTGGAGGGCAGGGAAGAAACGTACCTCGAGTGCTTGGAGTTGTGTATCTCCTTCTGCCCGTACTTGCGCCATGCCTGCCCGTCGTCCAAGCTCTTCATGCTCTTCGTGACCACGGACGATTGCTGGGTCCTGCAACGCCAAAAAGGAGAAGCAAATTTTGCAAACATCCATTAGTCACGTCACGTGGCTAAGCAAATATGCAGTTAATTAGTGAGAGAGACATACTTATATATAAGAATCATGAGCTGGAGCCTCTTCTCACCTTCTCCGGCAGGCCCTCCCGTTTCCTCCGGCGGCGGCGGAGGCGGGCTTCCTCTTCCCGCCGCCGCTGGCGCCGTCGGTGACCTCGCTGTGCACGTCCGAGGACCTCTCGCTGGCGCTGGCAGCGGCCGCGGCCCTGGCGGCGTGGATGGCGCGAGAGAAGGCGTGGAGGATCTGGTCCACGATGAGGCCGCTGGCCTTGGGGGAGTCCCGGAGGAGGCCCTGCAGCTGCGTCGCGAACTCCCGCCCCTTGATCAGGTCATCCGTCACTCGCGCCAACGGGGTCTCCATGGACATGTACTACAGTCTGCAGTACGTCGCTCGAAGCACAAGCACGCAGTACTACACTGGAACACTCTCCCGCTTTAGCACAAGGCCACTGGAGTAGCCAGCCAGCCAGTGATATGGTATGGAGCAGCAAGGCGAGGGCAGGGGGGAGCTCGAGGGAGGAAGGTTCGTACTCCCTCCATCACAGTATATAGGGCGTCGATGGCGTCGCTCTGGGACCAAGGTGCCTTCTGATAGGCAGGGATTAAGGAGTCGATTGTGCTGCGAAATTGATGGCAAGGCGCCTAATGAATCGCTAAAATGACGCTTGGTAACCTCCCCGTCCAATAAAAACTGAAACAGAGCGCATGCATTGGTGGAGCCGTTTCTGAGCGAAATTTTAGCGGGTTTCTTCCTCCTCCCGCGCCATTCCTTCCTCCTCCCGCGCCATTCCTTTCTCCCCCGCTCGGTTTCCATCTCCCGCCGATCTGCTGCCAAATACAAAACGAAAATTTCGGAGTTCAAAGCTCCCGCCGATCCGCTCTATAATTAGCTGCGGCGATGGAGGGACACGTACAAACAGCATCTTCTCTCCTCCCTCCTCTCTCCAATGGCGCTGCCGCAGCAATGTGCAGATCGCCGGCCTCCTCCTCTTGGCCTCCGTGGGCTTTCTAGGGTTGCTTTCCAGCCGAGATCGCCGCCGCCCGGAGGTCTTCCTCCTCTTGGTCTCACCGGACGCTCTGGTGCTCCTTCCTTCTCCATCGGCACGGCAGGTTTTGAGCGTCTTCCTCCTCCTACAACTTTGCCTCGACGGCGCGTCGGCCTCACACGCCCATCTCGCGCTCCGGCACCTAACGAGGCCGGTTCCTCGAACTGGAGTGCCTCCGTCGGTGAGGCCGGTACAGGCAGCGGAAGGTTTGTGGGGTTTCACCTCATCAATGGCAGCGGCGGGATCTCGTTTGGCGGTGGCGGTGGCGGCGTGATCTCGTTTGGCAGTGGCGGTGGCGGTGGCAGCGGGATATCGTTTGGCGGCGGCGGCAGCGAGTCCCTGGACTTCACGTTCAGAACCGGCGCCGGTGCCAATCGGAGTGAAGGATCCTCCCATGGTGGAAGCAGAGAAGGTAAACCCTAGAGACCCTATAGTCTCATAGATCATGCAATTTTTGTCTGTCACTTTGAATCAAGATTAAACCCTAGTTGTTTCGTTTGATGTTGATGGAGTACTCATGTTTCTGTTACTCCATGAGAATTGCATGTTTCTGTTGATGGAGTACTCATGTTTCGGTCATGATGGACTACTCATGTCCAGATCAATAGAGATAATTGTTTCTAAAATCACATAAACAGTCATTTTCATGCACATTTGTTTCTAAAATCACATGGTTACTATGCTTCATTTTCACAAGGTATTGGTGGAAATGAGGGTACCATTGGCTACCGAGGGCCTGGATACAACCCAAATTTTTCACATGCCGACGAATACCCTCCTAGTCAAGAGGCTGTTCAAACCCAAAGACAACCTATCGATTTGAGTAAGCTCATTTAGCACATTTTTGTATTTCACTAACCTTCCATATTTTTTGTTTGTCTAATTATTTTTCCAATGCATCTAGATGTTTTGTCGAACAAGGAGACAAGAAGACAGTACCGTATCGATGATAGGCGTCACATATATACTGAGATCATTGCCCGTAATGGTACGGGTAATAGGTTGAAGCATGGAGTTTCTAAAGCTGTTGCACTAGCTTGTAAATGTCCTAGGAGGATAGTGCAAAGGGTATGGCAGGAGGCTAAAAAAGGTGGCGGCATTACTGGGGTAAAAAACAATCGGAAGCTCAAATCAGGAAGGAAGAAGATTAATTTTGACATAGATGCATTGGAGGCCATCCCACCTGGAGAGAGAACAACATTAGAACAAGTTGCTGGACATATGAACGTGTCAACTTCCACTGTTTGGCGGAAGTGAGTGTTATACATTCATATATGTCAATTTTTTACATGTCAAATGTCTATGTCATTGATATATTGTTGTTATATTTTCTTGTAGGTTGAAGATGAAGGAAATTAGACGAATAACGAGTGAATTGAAGCCTGCCTTGACTGCTGCAAATGAAAGGGCTCGTGTGGAGTATGCTCTAAAGCATCTTGAGCCATGTAGCCTAACGTCCCTAGGCGGTATCAAACCCACATTTAGGGCTGATATGGATGTGGTTCATATAGATGAGAAATGGTTTTATCGCACGCGGAAGACCCAGAACATGTATTTGAGCCATAGAGAGAATGCACCACACCGGGAATGTAAACATAAAAACCACATTCAAAAAATTATGTTCTTGTCCGCAATGGCTAGACCGAGGTATGATGCTCAAGGCAATTGTGTTTTTGATGGCAAGATTGGGGTTTGGGCTTACACAGAAATGGTGCAAGCTCAAAAGAAGAGTCAAAACAGGTTCGCACTTGTTTTTGCTACTACTCCTACTTTGTGCTAAATTTTTATGTGCACATTATTTACTTTGTTTCTATATCCATAAGGTTGAGAGGGACATGGGAGCTCAAGCCTTGCCATACAGTGGACAGGGAGAAAAGTCGGGAATACTTAGTGAAATACGTACTGCCGGCTATAAAGAAAAAGTGGCCTGAGAGCGATAGATGGAACACCATCTACGTACAGCAAGACAATGCTAGGACTCATATAAAACCAGATGATCCACTTTTTTTGCAGGAAGCTGCTAGGGGTGGTTGGGATATTAGGATGATATACCAACCACCTAATTCTCCCGACACAAACATATTAGATCTTGGTTGGTTTGCCTCAATTCAAGCCATGTTCCATAGAAAGATGCCCAAGACCCTAGCCGAGATTGTCCAAAAGGTCTTGCAATGTTCCATTTGAGTATTTATATTTTATTTGTGATACATAGCTATTTGCTTATGTAATGATTTGAGTTTTCTTGCTGTTATGTGTCATAGGTTAATCAATCCCTAGCTGAGTACCCCCATCAAAAGCTCAACAGGATCTGGTTGAGTCATCAAGCGTGCATGAGAGAGATCATCAAGCACAAAGGGTCTATCCACTACGCAGTTCCTCACTTGAAGAAAAAAGCATTAGAGAGACAAGGACTTCTCCCGGTTCGTTTGACGATTGATCTAGAATATGTTGAGCAAGCAATTGAGTTCTTGAACTCAACATGATTTGTACTGCTTCATGTGATGGTGCTACTATTCGAGTATTAGTTTCATTAATCTTATAAAAAAATTGTGGAGTGTTTTGAACTGAAAATTTACACCGTAGGGTTTATCATGGAACCATTTTCATATAACATTACATGACAAGATCATATAAAACAGCTCTTCATATAAGATCATATAAAACCATATTCATACTCATTTTCTTACATAAGATCATGTAATGTTGTAAACTTGAAACATATATAACCATTACAACTCACTTTTTTTTCATCATCCGGCGAATCTAAACTTGACTATCCGGCACATTATGCGCTTTCTTTTCCTCCTCGAGATAGATAGATGGGTTGCGACGGCACCTTATGCATATCCCATCTTTGTTTATCGCCGCCGTAATCGCACAATCCTTGCACCAATAATTGTCACACAGGCAAGGATTTCCACACGAGGTGCAAGAACGTAAATCTTTTGGAACCGGGAGCCTACACCCCGAGCAAAGGAATATAGAAGCCTCACCACGGATGCCACACTTGAGGCACAAAGCCGGATGAATGCACACCTCACAAGTTGAGGTCGGGTTGGAGTAGGTTTTGCGTACCATCTCTTGCTCTTGCACCATCTCCTTCATGGCATGAACTTCCACCACGCCTTGCACCTCCTCCATGGCAGCAACCTCCACCACGCCTTGCACCTCCTTCATGGCAGCAACCTCCACCACGCCTTGCACCTCCTTCATGGCAGCGACCTCCACCACGCCTTGCACCTCCTTCATGGCAGCAGCCTAGGGAGCCGAAGGAGAGAGAGAAGGAGAAACTGAAAGAGAGCAAACTCCACCACGCCTTGCACCTCCATGGCAGCGGTTTTATACATGTTGCATGCGGGAGCCGAAGGAGAGAGGGAGGGAGAAACTGCATGCGGGAGTAGGTTCATGTTCACACTTGCATGCCTCACATGCACTCATGTTCACACCTGCATACGGGAGGCAAAAGAATTCATGTTCTCACTAGCCAAACCATGCATGCGGGAGTACTAATGCTAAGTAATTAATAGCCTAATTAAGGAGGTACGCCCTATTTCAAAGGGATTGTGAAAAAATCTGGTTTTGAAACTGCGCCCTATATACTGTGATGGAGGGAGTACTATATATCATGGTTGGCGACTACCTGTGCGTGCGGTGGTATCGTGTGATGCCGCTCTGCGTAGGTGGGTGGGTAAGGCGTAGCCGTGCTCGTGCAGGCCGTCACACTGATCGGTGGGCACCGCAGGCACGGGCGCGGTTGAGCATCGTGCACCGGGTGCATCCATGGTAGTTTCCCAAATGAGCTTCCTTGGTGTGGAGGGATAGTCCAAGGGGGAAGCATCCTGGAAAGGAGCGACGCGTGACGAGCGACTGTCGTCAGCGCATGACGATGGTGGCGTGATGCGGGTGGGGGAGTGCGTGCCGCGTCATTGCTGGAAATCTTTTTAGCTACATTTCGCCGCTGCCCGTCGGGTTTGCCATGGCCTTTGGGATAACATACATCGCTTATTGGCCTTAGATTCGATTTGGACTTCCCGTTCCAGGCCGTCGTGCTGCGGAGTGGAAATGTGTTACAGCACGTGTTGGGGTGGATTGAGATGTATGTTAACCTCCTTGTCACTGCTGGAATTCATCCACAACCAAGGCTATTTCATTAACCTGTTGTTGGCTTATGGAACAATCCGGACATTAAGCCACATGTAAAAGTTGATATAGCCAAATGAAATTACTCATGACAAGACTACTACTGGTAGTTTTTGATTATTCAATTGTTTTCTATCACGTGCCCGGAACAGCAGTAGCAACCAGACATCGTGAAATATACACATCTGATAACCATATGCTGTTTGTACGCACAGTTAGTTTACTTCATAATGCTCCTAAGCGTGGTCCCAGATTAGTATTAGCATGAATATGAACAACGTCGGCACTTCACACCGTGGTTTCTTCATTAGCCTTGATCGCTGCTCTGCATCCTTAATGAAGTAACCTGAAAAAAAAACAATTTTATCTTAACCAATGCCTCTCTGACCAAACATTCTACTGCTATGGATTCCAAGGATAAATCAAGAATGCCTTTTGTACTTGCACAAAATTCAATCAACTATTTGAGTCACAAACCTTAAGCATATGTGATCATTTGAAACAATTAAAATGGTCACAGCGTCTGGCACTACCGGCAAATATATGCCCAAGAGTTCAGCTTATCTGGATGCACTAAGGTATTAGACACAGAAATTCTGGCTCCTCAATATTATCGATGTGCATTTTAATATGCTTATCGTGTCATTTGTCGAAGACAATGGACAAGTAATTGCATTTACAGCACCTCAAGAAATCACTGGGTTCATTCGCACTAGAATTTGAACCAAGGAAAATTAAGAGAGGCAAGATGGGTTACTATTTGGGGTATGTTTATTTGTGCCGATTTTTTTAGGTCATGTACAGTTTTTTTGATAATAGCCCCACAAAAATGTGCACATGCCGTTTGCCTACTTCAAATGCAACTTCACCAAAATTTTGGTAGGGTTGGCTTGGGCATGAATCAAACACACCCCTGGTCATCGAAATACATGGGCATGTTCGATTCAAGGAATGCACTGGTCCTAGATAAGTTGGTAAGTTACTCCCCACCTTCATTGAACATTATATTGCAATTAGTGCTGCACCAGCTCATTTCGTCCCTCAAACCAAAGAAGATGGTGATTTCATTTCAAAGACCCATAAGAGTGATCAGCAATGATGGAGATTTTCGGTTAAGCTGCTGACAGCACAAAAATCTTCATCATTCAGTGCCCTAAATAATCGTTAGTATTCACTTAGACCTAGAATTCCCTTCACATTCTTAAGTTGTCGGAGTTAAAAATTAATAAGGATGTAAGTGGACGCATCCGTGGCACCCGCGGCCGTCTGGGCAAAATAAGCTAATCAATGTTGCTTTAAAAATCAAGCTAATACAAAAATCAGGCTAATAAGCAAAATAAACAAATGCAGGTGTTCAAGGATGCCGCGGATGCGTCCACTTACATCCCTAAAAATCATTGCAAGTCAAGGTACTAACCTTTTTAATATAAATACAGTGAACCTAGCAATTTGCAACCCGAAATCTAAATGCAAGGATCCAACCTAAGCAGAATTTTTTTGGCAAGTATGGAACTTCTTTATTTGTTAGGGCAAGGGTGCAAATAACACTAGTGGACACCACATCCAAGTCAACACCAAGACAATCTTTTTTTTTCAAAAGCGCTACAACTACATATCATCCTGTAAATTTCAGGTTCAAACATATTCGGTGTTCAGAGAAACTACAAAGAGCATAGACCAATGTTTAATAAGCATGACTAGGTTCCTTCAGTACGGTTAGGTTGTTTGGTTAGCGATTTGTGTTCCAAATTTCTACAGATCAGGTAGCCAATCTATACCTGCTAATTCTTGGTCCGCAGTGACATTTTGCAACAAAAAGAGTCCCTGACCTTTGTAGAAATCAACCCGCAGTCCCGTCACCGGCCTGGCCTCAGTCAGTCACCCGCAGCCTGGTGTTGTGGCCCAATCCGCAGTCCCGTCACTGCCCTGGCCTCAATTCGGGACGAAGCCGGCCCACCTATAGTGGCCCGTCTGGCTACAGTTTGGGAGAGGAGGCAAAAATATATGCTCGTGTCGGGAGTTGAACTCGTGACCTCCCGTTCACTACCTAAGCCGGTAGCCAAGCTAGCACGCCTTGCGCAAGTAGATTGGGAATATGCTTGTGTTGGGAGTTGAACTCACGACCTCCCATTCACTACTAAGTCGGTAGCCAACTGAGCTAGCACGCATTGCGCTGATATAAGTGAATTGGTTAATCTATTAAAGTACCACCTCAATCCCTAATACTAAATCCCACCGATTCAAATATGTTTGCAAGTAGCATGGAATATGGGAGGCCACCTTGGGAATCAATGATAAGAGAATGAGAAGCACTCTTAATCGAAAGATCTTGAAGAATCAAGTCATCGGTCCTTCTTCCGGAGGAGCACACGAACAGGAAGGAAAATGAAGCAGCGGAGGAGAACGGGTACGAGGCCGTTGACAATGCCAACGGATGGCAGAGGAGATCGCCTCGGGAACGGTCTGGGGTGACGCCTTGGAGGAGATCGATGGAATGTTGGAGGTTCATCAGAGGACTTCCAGGGGAGTGAGGCGGGGAGCGAGGCGGGGAGATGCTTGGGGTGGTCGCCGGCTGTGGCGCGGACGAACGGTGGCGGCGACACGAACCAAAAGCCGTCGGCGTTCTCCATGAAACTAAGGCTGCTATATGAGCTCATATTCTGAGGAGCGAAAGGGCGTGCCGATGCGCTTCGCAGGAGGAATTCATCGCAGGGCGCACAAATCACAGGACTGCAGGAGTAGTTTTTTCTTGAGACAACGCCACGCAGCTACAACGGTTCAGGGGATGGGCTATGCACGGCTGGGTAAAGCTGGGGTTAGGCCCAACAAGGTAAGCCTATAATTCTTTCATTTTCCTTTGTATACCCTTTTATGTTTTCTTTTTAGTTCAAACAACTTCCAAAGATCATGCATTTATTACTCAGCGTAAGCAACAACTCCCAACATGCAAGATTATACTAGCACCCCATATGGTGAGCCTGTTGTTTGCCCATAAATCATTATGTTATGCTTAGGTAAAATGACGCGTCTTCCATCAACGATATGGATTTTACCTTTTTCAAAAATTTGACGGAGTACCACTTAGTCAATGTTAGCTTGCTCTCACCTTTTTTTTCACTACCGACATTCTTTAAATTCCATGTCTTTCTTCCTAATCTGATTAACATGAACAGAGCAAGGTAGCAGGCCTACTTTAAGTCCATGTTCTTGTATTGCAGATGGAGGAGACCATATTATTGGATTCATCATCAGTCATGGTTGGCATTGGTGCCTTGCCAACCATGCTTCGTTTGGTGTATGGTTAGCCACAACGTTTTGGAGGCTAAACCAAAGCGCCTCTTTATAGATGGCTAAGTAATGACAAACCAGATCAAGCTTTGCCAAAATGGAACTGAAAGAAATGATTTCAAAAAAAGAGAAGAATGCAACAAAAGAGTTACTCAGATCTGAGCTATGTTTTGGGGTCATAGAATAAAATCAAACGGGTATGCAAGTCATGTTCTCGAGTGTACTCATTTAGAAATTTCTTAACTCTGTAGCAAACAGGATAACTATTTTCTGCTCAATGAATTACCATAACTCCTGTCCGTTTAGGTTTTGCAGAAAAAGAAAGAATCAGGTACTTATAAAAGCAATTCTAACCCTACATGTAGGGAGTAAGCGCCGGGTTGGAAACTACAACGCAGAACTGGACTCTCAAGGCTCAACCAAGACGGATGTCGACAGGTGATTAAAGTATTAACTCTGTTCCAAAATAGACGAGCTTTAGAAAGTCTGCAGTAAAACTTATATTTATCATTGAAAACTAACTGAAAAATGGTCAAAGTTGCAAATTGAAGGTTGAGCAAAGTCAAAGATCAATTTATTGCATGGTGTTTTAGTATATTTATATTTCTGAAATTAACAAAGGTATAGACAAGTTGTTAAGAACTTACAGAGAAGAATATGTCAGAAGTAGCCAAACTAACCTTCACATGTACGGGAGCTGCTGCTGGCTCTTCCGCACCTGCAGCTCAGTAGAAAGCTGAGAGCATTTCCTTTTTGTTTCCTCTAGTTCATGCTCCAACTCCAAAATCTACAAAAGAACAATTCTGATTTTATAGCAACAT